CTCTTTTAAGTGCTCATTTTATTTCATTATAGAGGAGCACTAAGGATATATATTGCAATGCCAAAAATTCTTAAATAAGAAATAATTGGCTTATGACCATAAATCAATTAAAGAGGAGAGAATTTCGATAACTTATGGGTCATATGCGAATAAGTGTTGCTGCATGTAAGATTGCATATCCCCAAACATAAACGGGGAGTTTTATTTTTAAATAATGGTTTAGCTATCAATTGGAGCCTTTTGATAAATGATTTTGCTAAACCTTTTTGAGTATGAACATGAGCAATAGGATGTTCAATAGCCAATCAATAATAATTTAATGCTTGAGAAATAAATTTATCGGCATTATCAAGGTGACTTGTTTTAATGGCATAATTTGAAAATTATGCTCAAAATCAAATTATTTGCTAGCAATCTCGAAAACGTCGGGTTTCGAGTAGATAATAAGCATATATGTGACCATCTTGTGGACGCATTTATCAAAATTGTAAAATATTTAAATGGTCCACATGATGGATGAATTAATCCACATATATCACCTTGAATATATTCTAAAATACTGGAGATTCAATCTCAATTTTACTTGATGATGGCTTAATCATCAATTTACCTTGGCAACATGCAAAGCATGAAAGTTCATTAAATTGAAGAATCTTCGGCTCTTCAATAGATATTCATATAATTTTTTTAATAATCTTTTCGCATCATGAAAGACCCAAGATAACACAATTGGTCATGTCACATAGTAAAAGTATTTGAATTAGTAAACTTCGGTTTACTATAATATTGGTTTCAATCATTTCAATGTTTGTAACAAAGACTACAAGAGAAAACGAGATAAATTTTTTTTTGATAGATATTTTTTACCCGATATAATGATTATAACATATAAGAATTCGCATTTGCTATCTTGATATGATATCAATTTAGATAAATATCTTTGAAACTCAACAAATATCCATGAGACTTTGAAGAGAATAGTACATCATTCATAATAAATTTATCCTTTCGGATAATAACATATTTGCTCTTCCGGAGCCTTTAAATTAGTCACTTCAAGTAATAATATATCGACTCTTCTAGAGCCTTTAAAAATTTTCTCTTCAAGCAATAATTTATTCACTCTTCTAGAGCTTCAAAAATTTATCTCTTCAAGTCATGATATAATCGCTCTTCTAGAGCCTTCAAAATCTATCTCTTTAGATAATAATATAGTCGCTCTTCTAGAGCTTTCTATTATATTGATATTATCATATATAATATTAACATAAAATAAATAATCAAATAAATCAATACAAAATAAATAAATCAATATATGCTTCATAAACATAAACAAAATAAATAAATAGTAAAATAAATTTGTAACTATCAATATACGACATAAATTATAATAAATATAAAATATTTTATTTATAAATAGAAAAACTAACAAATAATTAATTTCAATTACTATTACTTTGATATATAAAAGTGGCCTTCATATTTTACTCGTTATTTTTCAATAAGGCTTGACAAGGCTCAATGAGATGCTTTGGTGTACGGCGGGTACACGATCAATATTCATTCATTCCACATCTATAATATTTATTTTTCAGAATACCGACTTTATCTATTTTTATTTCCTTTTTTTTTCATAGTTATCCACTTCGGTGGTGAGATGTAATATTATGGTCATTACAATTATAATGATAATTATTTCCACCATATCCATGTCTATGACCACATCTTCATCCATGTCTAAAATTATTATAAATTGTCACATTCACTTCGGGGAATAGAGTAGATCCAATTGGATGAGATTTATTCTTTTTCATTTTATTTAGCCACTAACAAATATAAAATCGATCCAAAATATTTCTTAAACTCTTTTTCTCGATATGCTACTGCATGAGCATATCCAAGACATAAAAAGTAGAGAATATTTTTTTTTAAATCAAGCACTCATAATCAATAATTCTTATTCAAAATATCAAGAGTCACCAAATCAAGTTTATGAGGTTTGATATGATAAAAATTCATAATACAATATATAATAATAATATTAGAAAATAAATATAATAATAAAATTAAAGCTTTTCAAATAACATATATTAGATCATTAGTAGATCACTTAAGTTTTTCAAATATATATTTCAAGTATCAATAGATTTAAAGTACATGAATAAATTAGATACATACCTCTTAATGATCTAAATAATTTAGATCTTTTGGTAGAGCACTTGTGTAGAAGAAATCCAATTGTTGAAACAATTGATTAAATTTTTTGATAGCTACATACCTCATGGTCTATTATCTCGATTGGTTAGAGCTTCGTGCTGATAACGTGTTATAAAATAAATAGAAATGATAGGAGAATTGAAGAAAAGGATGACAAGAAAATGAAATCACTATAATATGAATATAAGTGATAAGGACTTCAAAGTTCTTCTTATTCTCTCTAAGAAACTTGTACATCAACAAATGAACAATCAAGCCTATTTATAGGCTTCAAAATTGAAATGAGAATTGAAAGGGACTATGAATAATTAAAAGTACATCAATTGCATCACCCTTTCAATTTCTTATATTGAATGGTGAATTGAATCACATTAAGGATCATGAGTAGTGGGGATATGAAAAGTAGATGGACATTCATATGGACATTGATTATTTTATAACATCTTCTATTTTTTTCTTTGTTTTTTTCTTTGTGTTTATTACTTTCTATAGAATAAATATTGTTAATTACTCATAAAATAAGATAAACATTCTCATCAATGCTGCGCAAAAAGCTACCTTCACGACAATAGGAAAATTAAATTAAAATGAATATAATTCATATTTTACCACCTATACAGTGTGAAGAAATTTGTTTATAGATCATTAAAAAAAAAAAAAAGCCATCATAATCACAAGCTTTATGCCACATATGCTCCCCGTACACAAACGAGGGATCATGAGTATGAAGATGGATTTACTAAAAAAAATACTAATCAAATAGCTTTATCAATTTTTTTTAATTAATGATGTATTCATTACACTTATAATATTAAATTGCTATACTATACCTTTCACTCGATTAACGACATAAATTTTATTTATTTTTTAAATATATTGATTATTTCAAAACTATCAATAAAATACCTCTGTTAACTTTCAAAACTATCAACAAAATATCTCAGTTAATTTCTCTATCAAACTTGATTCTGTAAATTTTTCTAACGTTTCAATTAAACCTAAAATAGCAAATTAGTTTTGCCCTCTTGGTTAAAGAAACTTTCTCTAAATACTCACAAACAATAAATCTTCTTGATAAAAAATATATAAAAAAATGTCATATTTGTGTTTTTCTCTCATATTCACATATAAACCTAAGTTTTTTTTTATTATTAAAAGCAAACCCAATTGATTTTAATTCTAAATTTTATAGTTAAAAAATAATATATTTTTAAATTTTTTATTATGTTTTAAAATGGTAGAATACTTTGAAAGGAAACTTTCCTCAAACAACAAACAAGGATAAAATTATTTTAATTTGATAGTATGATAATAATGGATCTTTTATTAATTAACAAAAAAATTAAAAAAATACTTAATCGATAGTTAAAAAAAAATTGATGTACTACGAAAAATAAAATTTATGTAATCAATTAAGAAAAAAAAAGGATAAAATTCTAATTCAATATTCTAAAGGTGATATTCTAAAGATAATAGAAATAAGCATGTCATTAGTTAATAAATAAATTGCTGAAAGTGCTTCATTGACAATTTAAAAATAAATTAATATACAAAACAGATGAAATATACATAGAATAAAATCTATGTATTCGAGATATTAAAAATTAGTGCAGCTATAATTCAATTATCCCAATCAAAAAGTAATTGGAACCATATATGTAGTTTTCTTCATCTGCTATAGCATTTTTTTGAAAAAACCAAGCGTCATTTTTTTTTCATTTGCAGAAATGGATTACAACTTACAAGAATATAGGATCAAAACTCGGCATTTCTACTTTGTTGTTTTGTAAAACACCAATACCAACATCTCTGTTTTTAATGAATAAATATTCGTTGGAGTAGGATATTTGTGAAGAGGAAAATGAAGCAAGAATGATCCGATGCCCAAGGTTTTAGGCTGTAAAAGCAACAATAAAGAAAATTATTCCATCTGAAGCTGCTTCTGTTATTCAGAAACATGACATGGTGTTTCATTTTAAATGGACAAAATATTACTGATTTCATCTTGAGAAATCAAAACCCAGCAAAATAATGTAAGCCATAGCAAGAGGAAAAAAATTGCAGAAGTTACTCAGTGGCCATGCGTGATTCGTAAAAATGAATAATGTTTAATCCATATGAACTAGCTAGACAACAAGAAAATATAATTTTTTTTCCATGTTCAACTCAATGAGCATCATAAATTAGGAGGGCACAAACAACATTAGAGCATAAAGTTGGAATTTGAAATAAATGAATAAAAACCTCATACCCTCCATGGCGAACCTCCACCTCGTCCTTCGTAGAATTTGACCACAAATCTAATTCAATTACTGTTAAACTTGTTCAAAACTACAGTTTTTAATTATGTTTGTGTTGAAGAATGAAAGAAGAGACACAGTGGATCCTTTCCATTGATTTTCAACGAGTGGCTATGAGGTATTTAAAATCTAACTGTCATGTTTTATTATTTATTATGTCAATGTTGTCCGAAATACTAATCGAAAAATCAGATTTGTATTAATATTGTTATTAAAAATTTAATTGATAATCTTTTTATGCAAAATAAAAAAATGAGCTACAATGATTAAAAAATATAAAATTTGTAATTTTTTTTTAAAGATTAAGCCTTCTAAATTTATGATCAGGTTCAAAAAAAAAAAAAAAAGGATAAAATAAGAAGGCACTAAAGGTGAAAAGAAAAACAGGAACAGAAATGTTTATTTATGCACTCGAGGGGACACCTGATGCAAACAGAGCAAACGAAAACCCAACTGCTTTTCTAGAAACTTCTGTTTCATGAGTCAATCTTGCTTTGTGGGCTTCGCTACGTGGCTCCCCATTCTCACCACTATTCCATCAAGATCCCGTACGTACCCAATCCTCTGTCCCCATTCCTTGTCCTCTGGTTTGCTCACCGGTGTAGCACCGTTTTCCACTGCCCTCTGTCACCCAACATTATATATTGGTGTATTTTTTAATAAAATATTAACAGTCGAATTAATTGTTAATAAAAAATAATTAAAACACATGTCACTTACCATTTTGAAAATGTTATGAATATAGTATAAATGTAACATTTAAAAGAAAAAACCGTTACTTATCATTTTGTTTTTAATTGCAATAAATTACTCTCCCAAACACCTCTTTTGCTTGAGCTATATGTATGTGTCATGTTTTTGACAAATGAGACATCATGTATATATACTTGTTTTGTTGACAAAAGTAATAAGGTGCTTTTTTGTTTCTTGACTAAAGATAACAAGAGATAAATTATCTGTTCTCCTTATAAATAAATAAATAAATACAAATATATTTTTTTATCTTCTTAATCTCTCACTTAAAAACCATATATATATATATATATATATATATATATATATATATATATATATATATATATATATATATTCGATAAAAGTGATTTTATTTTATTTAGAATTTCAAGTCTTATAAATAATATAAACTCGTAAAATGCTATAAAGTGACTGAATTTGTTATATTTCTAAAACGACATGCAACGATAATTGATTTACAACATCGATAAATTTTACAACGACATGCAACAATAATTGATTTACAACATCAAATAAATTTTACGACGTGTGTATCATCTCAAAAAGCAAATAATTTAGTTATGCCTCACGTTAATCGCTTATCTCAAAAAAAACAAATAACTTAATTATGCTTCGCATTAATCACTTAAAAATTATGATAAAATTATTTTGTTGATTTGATTATCTTTACATCGTGAAATATGATAACGTGATTTTAATAGTGAATTCTTTGATAATCAAGGTTAAAAGATTCCGTTCTTTATTTATTTTAATTTTATAAAGTTAATGCCACTACTTGCTTTTTTTTTTACCCACATGTAACAGGATTTTTGTTCTTGTATTTGTTTTTTTTGCATTCTTGTCTTATTCTTGTCGAGCTGCTAATTCTTCTACAATTATTCTTTATTTCCTGTATTTTTTTTAAAAGCTATTTTGAAATTATAAAAAATAACCAAAAGGTAAAAATTGACAATGATACCGAAGGAGAGATACACGAGATACCTTGTAAGCAGCATCAACATCCGTATAAGCAAAGCAAACTTCTATGGGGGGTCTCTCCCCGTCAGAATGGGGAGTCTGTACTGCACCACTTCGTTCATCGGTCTCGCGTTGGTGAATCGGAGTGAAGGCTATCGTGGTCTGCCCACTGTCCAGCTCTCCCCATCTACTTTCAAGCATTAGTACTATTCTGTAATTAGCAATGATCAGTTAAATAAAATTTTCATATTGAAATTAAATTAGTACCTGTTAGACTCGTCTAAGCGACGAACATGATAGCCAAATGCTTTGGCATAGAAAGCAACGGACTTGGCTACTTCCTTCACACAGAGAACCGTATAGGCAAATTCTGGACTCAGATTTGATGCCATCGCGATTGTACTCTCTCTCTATCTGGTAACTGTGCAAGCTACCTAGGGCGATCAAATTTGAAGGCTTCAATTCAGTTCGTTACTGAATCGGCGACGGATTTTACACGTGGTCAGTCAATAAGTTACACGTGGGCTTCATGCATGTCTAATAACTTGGTACTCTTTCAGCTTGGAACACCTGGCATCCTGGATCCACTTGGTGATGCTTTATATGTTTGTCATTTAGCGTATGCCACTAGGCATAATCTGTTACAACTTTAACGGAAGTTTTAATAGAATTGGAAGAAGGAACTAATTTTATTCCAACTACAGAAAGCGAAAGACCCAGTCGCTGCTTTTAATTCCGATCAACTACATAATTAATTATGTGACCAAATCAATACCACAACTAACCACATTATTGATTTTACTCCATCATCTAATCGGGGATTAATTCAGCAAATAATTTTTCCTAAGCATAACTCCAATTCATATAACGGGATGATTTTCGTTTTTGATTCATCATGTTTCGATAAAAACCTAAGATTCCTAAAAGATCCGATGTGAAATTCGAGCTTTCTACAAAAACTTATTAGGCTGGATGTTCTTATAATTATAAATCCTTTTTTTATGGTCATATAGATATCCGGTCCAATACATTAAAAATGTGCCTAATACTATATATATATATATATATTCTCCTTCATTAAAGAGAAGTACAAAAATGTCCAATTTAAAAAAGAATCTGGATCGCATGGGAGAGATGGGGGTAGACAGAGAGAGGAAGAGAGGGACAGAGAAAGGTATCATATCTATACAATACATATAAAATAATGATCATATCATTGGAGTGACTATTTCGATCCTCTTTCAGTATCACTATATTAATATTCGTGTTCCATAAGCTCTAGAAAACAATATTATTATTATTTTCATTCTCTAGAAAAAAATGAATATCAAGTAGAATATATTTAGATATTAAAAACTTACATACCATCAGTAGTACTCATCATTTGTTTTGTTATACAACCAATTATATCGACTATACAAGATTATCTTGAATTAAAATCATTCAACCATAGTATATTTAGATGTCAACAACTCATATACCATCGGTTGTACTTATCATTTGTTTTTTATACAATCAATTATATCGACTACACAATTATCTTGAATTAAAATAATTCAACCACAATGTATTTAGAAGTTATAAACTCATATATCATCAGTGATACTCATCATTTGTTTTTTATACAACTAATTATATGGACTGCACAGTTATGTTGAATTAAAATTACTAAACCATTAAAATCAATCTAAAGATTACCAGCTCATCACTAACAAAATGTTTTTAAATAGTAGATACTATTAAAGATGTTTACAAAGGATGGTACACTTTCTCCTTTTATTTTTATGATAATAGAATATACACGTTCCGAGATTACATATATACATGCAAGATAAAAGTATTTTAAGGTTCAATCCAAATTAAACTTTACATAACGTTTACATGATCGGGTTACCAAAAAGGTAAATATGATTGAGAAATAGTTATATTAATTTAAGCTTAATCATATAGAAGTGACCCCACATAATGTAATTGTACGCAAAAAATGATCTAATGGTACTTTTATCATTAAGTAAAAAAAAAAAATTATAATGGTAAATGAATAAAATTTTATGGCAGAATGTATTGATTAGAGATGAATCCAGATTTGATAAAAGCGGGCAGTCAAAACATATAGTTTTGATTTTGGATCGTGTAAGCACCTTAAATTGTTTATAAGTCAATACGAGATTTTAGTAATTTTTCAAACTTTAAAACTTCAGGACATCAGAGCTATCCTTAAATTTGTATTGTGCATACTCTCCGATAAAATTTAATTTTTGCCACCTGTGTATAGGTTGCGCAGAGGTCGGTGGTAGTTAACCGCAAAAGTAGTTCAGTTATTTTAACACTTCAGGTTGTTAATTGAAACGAAAAGCGGGTTACACTCCTCATTTGAAACCAACGAAAGGAGAAAACTGAAGAAGTTTTTAAACTTCAGGGGTTGATTGAGACAAAAACAAAGTTTAGAGACTACGCTGAGACAAACCCTCTACGTCTAAAAGGCAGAAATCCAAATGTAACCTTAGAGAGTATATACTAATTCACTTCGGTCCTCCAAAGAGAAAATGGGTAACTCCGCCACTACTGCCATGATAATCTCGTTTTGAAATTTCGTGAAGCTGTTCGTCAAAAAATTTATCATTTCCTTCCTTGATTTTGGCGCTCCCTATTTTTGGTCGTACACGTGTTATCAAGCGAGCTGTAAATGGGTAGAAGTTCACAATCTGGGTCCAACGCTTTTTCTCAGTCTTTCAGTTGCTGGATTGCGGGGGTTAAACTATACTACTATCCTTTAGATTCGTCAATATTTCACTTTTGCTTTCATAGTTTGAATTTTCCCAATGTTACCACTATACCTTTTGCGAAGTTTCAATTTTATTTATTTATTTTTTTGGTTTTTTTATGATCCACGTAGAAAGAGTAGGAACGAACTCCTATTGTAAAGCATGATTCAAGGAATCAAAGAAAAACTACACTAAACCTCAATTGTAATTGATAACAAATAATCGAGGTTTTCTAATCATCTCTTTGCATATAGACATATTCTGTACCATGTAAACTATATGTTGCAAAGTATTAGTAGAAAAAAATTTGATCTTTGTGCCATTTTTTATTCATTTTCTGCTATATGAGATATAGACAAGCATACCAAGAAATTCTTACCAGCAAAAAGATGAGGGTTTTTTATTTTTATTTTATTTTATTTTATGTAGTTGTTCCTTCCTTTGTCTAGGTAAATTCTTGCATTAAAATTTTATATGTCTTCGTATGGTGTATTTTTGCAGAACATCTATTCAAATTATTTTTTTGAATTGGTACTCTATATATATATATATATATATATAATTTTTGCTTTCCTTGGACTTCTTGTATATACAAAATGCAAACAATAATTCTTTTTATTCTAATATGTTTATTCTTAGATGAGAGTTTGTTAAGAATTACTAATTATGTTATGAAACTATGCTTGAGAATATGAAAAGCATCCTAGAGGATTCTAAACCAATAATCTTATCATTTTTTACTTGAACATGCAATTTCTCATGTATTTTTGACTATAATGCAACTATTTGGTGTAAGTTTTTATTGAATAAAATATATTTCTAACTCACCTAGATATATTGTCTAATAAATTGCAACTTGGATACTGACAGGTTTATAAGATCTAGCATTAGATCAACGGCAAGAATTGTGTTAGATTATGGCATCAACTTTTGCGAAGTTTAAAATTTTTCTAATTGATAATAACAAAAATCTAACCTTTGTAGTAATATTTTTATTCTATTCTTTCTCTTAAATTTTTCTCAAATGACCATATATGTTATAGCATTTCATATTAACAGTTGAAAACTAAAAATAAGTAAACTTCAAAACCAAATTCAAAATGTCAATTGTTTTTATTTTATTTTCTAGGATATTTCAAACACAAAAATTTAGATTAATCATTTATTATTCTGTCGAACATACAAAGTGAAAACAACTATCCAGAGAGTTTTCTCGAATTTAAGATTATTTATTTAAGCGAGTAGAGCTCTTTTCACTCAAATTAATCATCTTGAGTAAAATGTCATCTATTTAATGGTCAGGTAAGACAGGAAACTAGAAGGGTAATATTGAAAACTTCCAAACTATAGGAGTAAAAGTTGAACATTGAAACATATAAGGCTAGATATGAAATTTGTACCGTTTACCATGGAAAACAAAAAGGCTATCTAACACGTTATAAGTGAGAAAGCTGTCTTTTTCATTTCCTTTCGTCAATGATAAAAGATCGAACCGAAAAGCTTGTCTTTCCCATTCTGCTTCCCCTTTGAATCATCTTGTCATCGATTGATCTCCATATGAAGATTTTCCAGTGAGTTTTTTCTTTTCCTTTTGTTTTATCAGGTATGATTTGTCTATAGTATAGATGCTGGGTTCGAATTTAAAAAATTGATTTGATGTCAATATTTAGCAATTATAGCCACATAAGTGTGCTGTTCATGATCATGCTATTTTCAGATTGAAGTTTGCTCAAAACCCATTTGATGGAATGCCACCAGTTTAAACAAGGAAGGTAAATTGGGTGAACCCGCTTCCATGGGAGACCCACCGCATAACTCTGGTAAAAATCAAGGGCAAGGGCAGACTGCTGTTTATAAGAGAAACATTGTTGCTTCTAGTCCTAAAGCATTTCCTCGGAGTGCTTACAAGCATGTAGTTTCGTCAAGACATAGTACTGGCCCAGTTGGTCAGACAGCAATGTTTTTACTCAAAGTTGCTGCGTTAGAGACTGTACGAAGGGTTTCGAGGTCTAAATGTCCCCATTTGTGGAATGGTCTTCAGGCTTTGCAACTTCTTTGCTATCCACCGTTTAAGTGGATTCAAAGATGGGCACCCTTCAAGGGTTTCGTTAAAGGCGTACAGGTTGTTTCTTGCTTCTTACTATTTTCTGTCATCGCATTCAAATAAGACTGCTAATGTTTTTATCAATTGTTTCACACATACACTAGTTATTTGCATTCTTCACAATAAATGAAGGCAGACATGTTTGCATTTATACTGAGGATTTTTATATTATTTTTAGTTTCAAGTAATTTGTGTAGTTCAAATGATAGAAGTGAGCAAATGTTTACAAAATGCAGTAGCTGTGTGCCGAAGGCACATTTTCCTTTTATATGCGTGTGGTTCTTTTGATGAATTACTTATAAATAAATATATACTGAAAAGAGGCTCGCTCTGTTGTGTATAAGTAATGGTATTGAGATAGAGAGGGTTGAGAGAGTAAAATCAGCCAATGCTCGGGGATTTTAAATTTGCAGCGGGTGAAAAATTTCGAGGGATCCGATAGGATGAAGAATGGGGTGAGTAGGTGTAATTATAGAGTGATAATTGGTTAGGATTAGAAGGTGGTTTTGTGGATTATGTAACAGTGAGAGTACTGAGCGTTAGTGAGAGAATTCAAAGATAGTTTCATGTGTTTAGAACGAGCCATGGGTCCATTTGTTTACAAACATGTAGTTGGACAGTTACATTCACATATAATGAAGTTTCGAAATTGATCAGTAAAATGGAGACAAATGGTACTGATTGTCTGATAACTGGCTTTAGCAATGACCATTAATTGCGGATTTGTTCAATTCATAATGATTCTTAATTCTAGGGCCCTTTCTGCCATCAGCTATTTTCACCAACTTTAATTGCTTAACTTGTAATTATCTTTTCTCAGCATGTAGGCGTGTTGTCTGCATTTTCCTGTTATGGTTGAGGCCATAGTGAATAATTTTCTATTCTCTTCTTTTGATCGTATATGCTGTTTATATTTAAATATGAGTTTCTGGAATAATTCTGGTTACTTTCCTGCCTTGCTTATAGATGTTTTCGAGGCCATTATTAGTCCTTTCGATTGCAACAGCTATATTTGATCAATCAAACTGCAGCGGTGGAAACTCAGATGACACCAATAATTCTCATTCTGATTCAGAAACATGTTCTGAGTCACTCTCTGCACGTTCTTCTTTTGAAGCTAGGTAAATAGATGATAAAGTTTTCAGTGTTTTGAATATTATAATTGCAGATATCATAAGAAAATTTTTTTTTGACTAAAGACATTTAGTTATTTCAACACTTTGTTAATGGAAGACAGTAGTTAAATTTCTCCAGTTTTATGTGAAACTTTTACATTTAAACATCTCTCTTGATGAACTGGAATCTTAAAAGCAAACTTTTGGTTTCTTATAAAAATTGTTTAAATCATCAATTTAATCAATGAATTTGTATTGCATGTTGTTGAGGTTCAGTTTATTATTACATGAGAGATGTTTTGTAAGTTTGTGACTTAGCGTTGAATGTTTAAAATCAAATGCTGTTTATTTTATGATCTTAATAAGAACTTTGATGTTCAGTCTTGGGATTATAAGGTGTCGCATCTAAAGAAACAGACTATGAATCGTGCGCTATTGGAATTGGACATTGCAGATAAAAGTTGGCTATATTGTGACTGGATACTACTTACCTTTGACTAAGAACTTGGGTTGAGCTGTCAATTAAGAGTGCCTAGTTAGACAATTAAATGATATATTTATCGTACTTTTCAATTCTCTATATGTTTCCTTCTCTACATCGGCACTTGGCTTTTTCATCTTCAACTGATCCATGAAGGAATTGGTTGATTTCAGAATTATCTGCGAGCCTGCGACTTTGATTCTTGAATCTTAGTTCTGACAAAAATATGAGTTTACTCTGCAAAACAAAATAACACAGTTTCCAGTTTTTTGGGTAAATGATATTTGGACAAAAACTGAATGGTAGAGGCTAGGTTTGTAACCCAGATTACATTGATCTAAACTTGGTCAATTGCTGTCTTAGGGCTATACCATAGGGGGCTCAGTAAGTCCATGAAGAACCTGTTTCATTGCTTGATGTGGCATGGGTATTCGTACTGGATGTGTCTTTGGTATGCTTGCTAGCTGAATATCTACTTGGCTCTCTCTTATTGACATTTTTTTGAGGTTTAAGCTTATGGTCTTATTGTCTGTCTTGAATATTGTCTGCTGGGTGAACTGGTTTTAAATTTTTTTATGCTTTGTTGGTTATGATAATTTACTAAAGAAATTTGTTTGGGAACTTTTGTGACCTGGAACTACCTCTGGAGGTCTAGTTACAAGTTTATGGCTTTCATCTGACCTGCAGGACTTCTGATGTGGCCTCTCAAAGTATAGCATCTGAAAATTGGCTGATACAACTGCTTAGAGAGCTAGAAAATCAAGGAATTGCATTACCAGAAAGGTGCTTTTTTACTTCTAATGTATGAAGAATGTGAAAAGATGAACAGTGGGTTTCCTTGTTCTGAATTCTAATATTATGATCTTGTTAATTAATTTACAGCAAATTAGTTCCATCATCGATCGCTCTGCCTACTTCTTTATCCAGGCTCTGTGCTGAAGACCTTAACATGTTCATCCATTCCATACTTCTTTCTGTTCTGGCACCGGTTTTTGAGTTGATCATAAAATAGCCTTATGAAAATTGATATGTTTTAAGAAAGTTTGGGTCCCTTTCTGCTTCCTGGCTTCAGCCTCAAGTAGATGTCTAAGATAAATTTTCTTAGTCTCCAGTGAATGAGACTGAACTTCAATCACTACTCTCGTTCCTCTGCTGTATTAGGTCTCCAAAAATTCTCATATACATCACCAATCAGCTATCTATTTTGTTATTTCTCTCAATGACATAACTTTGCCGCTCTGGTTTTGAAACTTGTTTCATAGTCTTAAATACTTTGAACTTCTTGGCTTTTCTTGTTGCAGCAAATCATGACATGGATGTTTATGCAGAATTAATGAAGACGAGCTCCACAGATTTTATACAGCAGCAAATGGGGACTTTTCATGCCTTTTATTGTCAATTAAGAAGACAATCCGTTGGCGGGAGACTTATAGAATTCTTTCACAACAAGAGCTTGAAATGTGGTCAAATATGGTCTTCTGGCATGGTCTTGATGTGCTGAACCGACCTTGCCTCATCGTGCGGCTTGGTCTAGCTTGCGCCAACTTGCCATCTCATGAGAGGCCTCGCTTTGCTCAAGCAATCAGTAAGTTCCTTTTTTTAATTACATCATTTTGCTTCTTGCCATATAGGCCATTGGGTTCTCCATTTGAATAATAAGGTTTTGTTCACCATATATAATGAAGTAAACCATCTGAGCAGTACCTCAATTTTAGATTCTGCATTGGGGTCAAATCGATTATGTTTCTCACCATCTAATGCCTGTTAAGCAGGTTGTTTGCTAAAACTGCCCAAACCCCACTCATAAACAGGCCTTTATGGATGAACCCATGGCCATAGGTAGAATTCCATGCAATCTTGACCACTGATGCCTTCTTATATTGTCTATACTAAAAGCATTATCCTGCAAGTTCACAATAGTAGCTGGTTACTTGCTATGCTAAAAAATGATTTGTTTTCTGATGATGAAAGGATGAATTTGAACTGGTGGAATATCTTTTTTTCAATTGCTTCGGTTAGTTTGAGTTTTGAAACAAGATGTCAACATTTTAGTATGCTTGTTCTGTTAGTTTATCTATTTTAACATTCTCTATGTGTTATTTCAATATCAATGAAATGGATTTGCTCCAGTATCTCAGGTGGATCATGGGGTCCTGCATTTAGTTGGTGAAGATAGTCCTCAGATTACAGTTCTTGTGGATTGTGATGGGATATCACCATTGAAAATTCCTATGCAAATGATGAGATCCTGTTCTTCACTTCTGCAAGATAACTTTCCCAACCGTCTTGGTCTTTTGCTTGTTATACGGCTTCCTCCAGTAGTTCGAGTTATTGCTCAAACCTTTATTCAAGTAAGCATACTCTCATTAGGATCTGAATCCTTGGTCTTCCTGCTTTACATTTTCCATGTTTGCTGTTTTGAATTGTAGAAATGAAGGGGGTATTTCCTTTTATAAACTTATTGTTATCATTTAAAGTAAAATCTGTGCCTGTATTGTCTCTCTCTATATGTGTAAACATGGATCTCTGCTTCTGTTCAGGTTCTGAAACCTGTGACGAGGAAGAAGTTGAGAATTGAAGGCAACAGGTACCACAGCGTCCTCTCTGGGTACCTTAAGACAGTCCCATCATATCTTGGAGGCAATTGCACTTGTGAGTCATGCTCAGACATGCATATTATGCAGCAGCCACAATCTGCAAACGAGATCAACATGGTCAGGCCATATTTTAGTGACGGCGAGGATCTTCCTTCACCACATCTGACCAGTCAGGCTGATGTTCAATTGAATGATAACTGGAACCACTTGTTGAGAACTCTTGTAATTGGCATTCTTATGGTGTGGGCTGTTATAGCTCTCATTGCAGGAATATATGATCCCGAAAGCCGTCCCTTTTAGTCTTCTCAAGTCAAAGTGTGAAGGAGATCTCCTGAATTCCCTTGCTGCTTTCATAATTTGCAGGCTAGCTTTTTTTTGTAGACACCAAGATATTGTTATTCAGAAATTGTTGTTTCTGCTAGTTGATTATCTATTATTCTTATACTTGAATATATATTATTCTTGTGTTCACAGTTTCACTTGCTTCGCATTTATTTCTATTTAACCGAATGTAATCTTCTAGGCTGAATTCTAGAGAATTTAATGTAGTTGTAAATCGGTGATCTGCAATAAGCATTTTTTTTTTCATAGTTACCTGAACACTACAGTATTTGCTTGCCTATTTAGTTGTTGCATTTGTGGATGTGGGTTATACCGATGGCGGGATCCATTCACCATTCTAGGCTTGTTGCAATTTGCAACTCTTTGAGCTCGTATTCTTTTGCTGGAATTAGTAGTGGTTCGAGACTCTTGAGTTACAAATTGGGCCCAAGGGCTGTACCCACTGCAGCAATCAACTAGATAATTATTGGGTAAATACCATGAATGCTAGTGTATAGAGGAAAGAATGTTGAATCTCTGGACCGGTTAGCCATTAAGAAATCAGGAAGGAAGAATAAATATTTTTGGGTTAGATTATGCATGGCAATGACTCTAGGAACTCTGGTTGATTACATCAAAAGGAGAAGGGGAAAGAAATAGGGTCTATAATTTCTGATTCCTGAACCATATTGACTGTAACAATCATGTTCTCTAATTTTTATCTTCTCCCCAGCAGATGTACACTTGTTTAATTAATTTTCATGGAACTGTCAATTTTCATCTTTGTCAAATATTGTGTTAGAGAGATGACGTGTGATTAGCTGGCATCAACTTAGGAGAAAATATGTGAGCCACCTTGTGGCTCGGTTGATGTGGAAAAATGAGTAGATCTTGTAGCTTTTAAGTGGGGCTAGTGGATTAAGGTGATGTAGCACTATTTATCCAAAAGGGGAAATTAAGAGGTGGAATCTCAATTTTTTTGTTGAAAATCTCATGAGTCACCCAGCTGTTTAAGTTACCCAATCATCGGCTTAGTTTCATTTCTACCATAGCATTTAAATTCATATTAACAAGTTTCATCTGAACTTCCCATGCAAGGCCACAAGTTTGTTTTGATTTTGGAATGGTAGGCTAGCAAGAGCAGCAAAACCTTGATTAGAATTGTTGTTTTTGTTTTTCCTTCTATCTATCATGTGTTTTATCAATTTTTTTTTTTTTTAATTATGTAAAATACAACTTGTCTAAAAAACGATTAACTTACTGAAAGAGGACAGTGGAAGGAACAAAATCTTCTCTTGGTGTTGCTGATTTAACTAATGCATAGGAAAAAAGGAAAAGAAAAGAAAAGAAAGAATTCATTTGTTTCTTTATCTTTTTTTTTTTCTTTTGGCTGTCACATTATTAAAATTTAAGAATTTCATTAAAAGGTGTTGTTGAGGTTCAAAATTGGGGTCCTCCATTTTATATAGTCCTAGGCTCCTAGCCAATTCCAACTAAACAATTCTCTACCAAAACAATACATACATAGACACATAAAAGGATTTTGGTAAAGCCCATAACATTTTTTTTCCACATGCACAAAATAGTAGGTTTAGCGCATAGAAGTGAGTGGTTATTTCATGTTATAGGCAAATTATCTCTGTTGATTTAAATTAAACGGCTACCCAGCTAATTAAGTGCATCGTACGGTTAAAATTGTTGTGTATCAGTACAGACGTTTTCAAAACATCAGAGAATTAAATCGAACTCTTTGATTTTCCTGCAAAACATTAATTGTTGTATATCGTAGGAGCAAAAATGGGGAAATAAGGTTTAATTTGTTGTATCCCAGTAAGATTAGTCTCCGTGGCCAATTTGCTTACTTAGTGTGTTTATATATATATATATATATATATATTTGGTGCCATTTGTATAGATTATTGAGTTAAGTACGTCATGAAGTCTTCTTCTTTCGTGATCCGCCCAAGAACACTCAAGCTGCTGGCCTGGTACCATAGTCGTCCACTTAAAAAGTCGGCCATCACCCTTTTTTCGTTCTGCTTTTCTTAATATAAAATTTTCATTTGAATTTCTTTATGTCGAGGACGTGAAGACAAGCAAATGTGGCCTTTGGGATTCGGAACGGATAGGACATGCGACGTGGCGACAAAAAAATGGATTTGATACGCCATCACTCACTTGACTTGTTACGGTTTTTGAAGGCTCATTTTGGTGCAAATATCAGACCCTTCCATGCGTATCTCAATTTGCCAAATCATTTTTCTCCATCTACTGCCATTAATTGTTAAGACTAATAAATTAATCAGTTGCTCCTCTAATCATAGCTAAAATGTTAACATATATAGCTCTTTGAAATGGAATGGATGGTACTTGCTGTCGTGTCTTGATAAAGGATGCATGCAGAGGCAAACATCAGTAAGAATTTGAGAATGAAGGAAAGCATCTGCAGTCTTTTGTATGAAATGCTCTTCCTTTCAAGAAATTTTATATTACATGTCTTTTAATGACTTTTTTTAAGAAACCTTATCAATTTCTTGAACTCCATCTCTTCAAGTCTAACTACATCCCTCATCTTTTATCTGAATTATATTAAAACTGTATTTGATCAAGAGAAGTAGGTAGAATTTGAAATCCACTATGATGACGCACAATTAACGAGGGGTCAATATCCTTCACGACAAAATTCTAATCAGTGTCGTGCATAGGATCCCACCACACACGGTCACAGGACTGCCGCTACTAAATTTCCTTAAAAACTTTATTCGAACCTTTGTTTTTCTGACGTCATTTTACACTTAAGTGAGTGCATGGATCGTGGGGGCCTGATATTGCTAATGTCTCTCCATTCCTTCCAATAAGACTTATAGGGCACTTTACCGAATAAGCAAATAAGGACACTTAAACTTAGAAATACAAGAGAGAGAGAGAGAGCTAGAGATCTGATTTCTTTAAGGGACTTGCAAAAAGAAACTTCGACGAGGGATACCATGCACGCGGCAGTAGCAACAGCTTTAACTAACTTGATGCACTAATAATATGTGGAGTATTTGACAAGTACATCAGCAATGACCCAGTTGACCCTTCCTTCTCCTCAAAGAACACAACACAGCACAACACGACCGAAAACATGTTCAGTGGACATCGACGGAAACCCCACTTAAACGTGTAACGTATTTGATGTGATCTCTATCTATTTAATGGCTAAATTATGCAAAAACGCCATGAAAGTATTAATCAAATTCACATATACCTATATTTTTTTAAAAAATTATTTCACTATCATATAATTTTTTTTAAATAAATAATAGATATTTTCGATCATTTTTTAGGTATTCATCGAATGGATTATCACATGACACAAAAAAAATAAAAAAAAAACGTGGCACAAATCCCTCACGCACGCATGCGTGGTTTTCTACAAAATGCAAAAACAAGTAAAATTACATTAAATGCTAAACGATTCTCTTTTTCTCTGAAAAAAAAAATATTGTCACTCTAGTCTCTTTTCCATCGTCTTATAATCGAACACCAACACCAACACCAACACCATTGAATTAACCAGAGTTGATTGCTTGTCTTTGCGTTGCTTGTGGCCTTTTTTCGAACTGAAACGAACCCTAGTCTCTTCCATTTCTCCTTAGAAGAGGACGCTGGGGGGTTCTCGGGGTTTTCAGATACACCATTATATTTAAACAATTTTTAATATAGATGAGTCGACAATGATTTGGACTGTTGTGTTTTTAATTGTTAATAACTTCTTCATATATCTATTCTATTCTATTCTTACACCAAGTATCATTAGTGCTTGCAGGTTGCAGCACACCAAAGCGTTACATAGAGAGGTGATAATGATACTTCTCATGTGATAGTCACACTCCTTAATCTCTTCCATTTTCTTTTTTCATTATGAAATGATAAAATTATTCTGAATTAGATATTATGTTTTATCGCACTCTCTCGTCTTCTTCTCAGTACTACCACGTGAAACGAGTAGATTATAAACTAATCTCTTTGGTTTTTCAAAATAAATTAAATGGTTACTATAGTTTCAAAAATTAATTAATATTTAGTCTTTATATTTTAAATTTTATTTTTAATTTAATAGTTTTTGTTCTTTTTCAATTTATTTTGATAGAATAAATATTGTTAGTTACTCCTTGAGTATCATTCATATATATATATATATATATATATATATTATGCAATATTTGATATATTATTTATATGGTCAAAAAGTGTTATTAAATTGAAATGAATATATTTTTTTAGAAAAAAGTATTATTAAATTAACAATGTGTTATTTTTTCATCAATCATAATGTTTTTTAGTATTTTAGTATTTTTCTATTTCTTAAAATAAAAAATCAAAATAAATTGAAAAATAAAAAAAAGATTAATTTTTTTTAATGAAAATAAAGATTAGATTAATTGAAAAGAAGCCAGCTGGTAGTTGATAAAAATAAAAATTTGAGACATACAAGAAAATGACCAAAACATTCTAGAGCAAAAAATAAAGGGTTAATGGTTCAAGGGATCTCCCTACTCTTCTTTTTGTCTTCGTCGTATTCTTCTACTAAATTCATCTTAATGTCATCTCTCAATATTTACTTTACATCTTACTTTAATCTCTTCATCCAAATTTATAGGTAATGATGTGAAATCTCGAAGAGAAAGGCATAAGATCTTGACAAGGGATTTTTTTTCTGTTTAATTTTTGAAATTAAGTAAATAAATTTTTGGAAATGAAAATTAAAAAACCTAAAAAGCCCTCAATATAAATAGCCAAAACCCCTAAATCAGATTTAATTTTTCTCTAACCTAACTCTAATTTTCTCTCTCTTTTCAATTATCGCTAAAAGAAGAAACAACATTGAGCCCTTTCTTCTTCATTTCTTTCTTAGTTAACCCTCTACTCTCGGCCATTTTTCTCTTCCTTCTCATTCTTCATCCTTTCATCTCTTCTCCTTCCTTTTTCTCATTGTTCGTAATTTTAACTAAACTCGATTATCGTTAATTCAATCACTCTTCTTATTTCTTTTTAGTTTCTTGCATTTTCTCTCTCATTAGCTTTATGAAGTTAAGGGAAAACCACCAACTAAAAAAAAAAAAACAAAAAACAAGAGAAACTTCCTATCTTGAGTGGAGTTTAGGTGCTTCATTTTTTCAATCCTCTTATTTGAATTAATTAAGTTTTTTTTCTTTGCTTTTTAATTTTTTAATGCAAGTGGTGACTTCATATTGTGAATTTTTTTATATTTTATTTTATTTTTTTCTCCGTCATTGTCCCTCCATAGTTGTCCCTCTAGATGGGTAAGTTAAGGCTTTATATCGAGGGAAAATTACATAAAATTATTCAAGGTGTAGGTTTAATAGTGATGTATGAAGGAAGTATTGTGGTTGATGTTAATGTTCATGAGGATGATTTGTATTATATTGGTTTATTGGAGCTTGTCAAGGCACAAGCTTATGCGAATATAACATGTGTATATTATAAGGATTCTAAATTGGGTAATAATTTGAAAAAAATACCTCAAGTTAATATATGTTGATAGAAGTGTATGTCCCACGATTGACTCGGTAATGAGTATAGGATTTGTTGATGTTTATTATGAACATAGTGACAAAGAACATCTATATTTTAATATATAAAATCCGAAGGTTGTCCATGAGAAGTTTGGTAGTAATGTGTACAGTAGATTATGTGATGATGCAATTTTTAATAGTGAAAGTTCAAGTTATAGTATGGTTGAAAATGACCGTGTTGCGAGATGATGAAGTTAAAATTATTGAAAGAGAAATCAAGAAGAATAATGAGTAAATAGAGGGAGAGATAGAAAAGAAGCAAAAATATAATGATGAATAAGAATATGATGTTGTTAAGGATCGAGTAAGAGGTGAAGAAGATAACTTAATTTTGAATGTGGTTGGTTGAGCGACAATAATGATGAAGATGTGCAATATTCAAAGAGTTGTATTACAAGTGCAATAAGAAGGTCAAAACATTGGTATAAGGGAATGAAGCTGAAAATATAGAAAGGAATGTAGATGATAATATAGAAAGGATTGTTGAGGAAAATATATAGGAAAATACCGAGAAAATTATGAGAAGGGTTGGTGAGGAAAATAAAAAAAGGAGATGATAATTATCATGAGAGATATGTTGAAAGATTAGAGAAGAAAATCAATATGATTCGATGGAAAGCCGATCTTATCAACAATTGATGATAATTCGGTTGCAGAACATGCTAAAAGGATAAAGACAATAACTATTATGTATGATGACAAGAATAAAGTCCCTCACTTCCAAATTAGTATGGTGTTTTTTAATAATAATAATAATAAAAATAAAATAATGTAGATAAAATGTTATAAAGCATTCAATGAAGCATAAAAGAGTTGTGAAGTTTGAGAAGGATGATCGTATTAAGATTAGGGTTGAATACATGGATGAAGATTACAAGTGGACTTGTCCGTGTTCTCTATATAATGAGACATCAAGCTAGGTGGTGAAGACTTATAAGCCATACCATACATGCAAATGTCGATTCACAAACATATATGTTACTTTTAAGATATTAGCTTAAGAGTTCATCAAGAAGCATGTGAGATTGTGTTTGAAAATGACTTGAAGAGGAATTATAGCAAAACTCATGTAGATTTTAGGCTGAAGATCTCACTAAATCAAGCTATTTCTATAAAGAATAGGATTATCAAGTTATTGTGTAAAGATATAAAGCTAGAATTTGCACAACTTGAAAATTATGCTTAAGAGCTCGGACAAATTAACAAAGGCAACATTGTTATTATAGAATATGATCCAGATATGAATGAGTCAAGAAAGATGTATGTTTATTTTAGAACAATGAGAAAAGATTTTTTAGAAGTATGCATAAAGATTATTGGTGTTGATAGATGCTTTCTAGAAGGTCAACTCGAAAAAGGAGTTGTTGGTTACAATGCAGGGAAATGCAATTAATGAAATGTTTTCTATATGTTTGGGTTATGTTGATATGAGAGAATTA